TTAAAGAGAGCGAAGAGTTGACATTTAGTGAAATTCTTATGTTTCTCAAGGAGCTCTCTAAAGAAATTAAATATTTAAAGTAAAAAGTGAAGTCTTCAAAACAAAAACCTAGCTATTTATAGAAAATCTCAGAGTGCAGAGAAGGTTATCTATACAAGGAACGAACTTGGGCGTAAAGAACTCCCCCTTGCCACCCATGCTTTAGGCGTCATTACGGCTTCCTCAGGTTTCCCTGGTGCCTGGAGGAGGGTGTGTGGCTCACAGGACAGCAGGAGGGAACATGGCAGCAATGTTCCTGCACACTCTAAATTCCAGGCTCAAATCTGCAGTCAGAATCTCAGTCTCACCACTTCAAAGGAGCTCAGTGACCTTGGGCAAGTTACTTAATCAGGTCTGCATTTACGTAACAGGGCTATAAGGTCTCAGTTCATATAAAGTACTTTGCTACCTGGCACATTTCCTAAGACGACGGGCACTCAAACAAATGTTGGATTTAATTCACTCTCATAATCTGAAGCATAGGGTTTACAACTGCAAACAAACCCTACTCAGGATGCAGTGTAGGCCGATCTCTTCGTTGTGCAGACAGGAAATCTGCTCCAGGTGCCAAAGCTAGAGAAGTACGAAGCCAGGTGCCCCATCTCCATGCACTGCAGGAGTGGGGGCTACTTTGCCAGTAAGAAAATCTCCCGGGGCGCCTGGGTGGTTCAGATATTGGGCTCCGGTCATGATCCCAGGATTCTGGGATTGAGCCCCGCATAGGGCTCCCTGCTCAATGGAAGCCTGCTTCTCCTTCTCCCACTCCCCCTGCTTGTGTTCCCTCTCCCTCCCTCTCTGTCAAATAAACATATAAAATCTTTAAAAAAAGAAAATTTCCCGTTCTTTTCTGCCAACTCCGTTCACCAACAACCCCAACCATTTTTTTTTTAACTTGAGCATAAAGGTATGTGAGACTCCCCGCCCCCCCGCCACCACCGCCCCAAACAGTGGTGTATGAAAACCGTGCTATCTGTAGGAATAAATTGCTAAAATGCAATACTGACATCATAAGATGCTTATTTTTTCCAAATTCGCTAAAATAATAAAGCACTTACTTATTGGCAAATTAACAATACAGCCAAGAAGCTACTAACGTTTTGGGTGGCAGCCAATAATTTTCACTCGTGTTCTTTGTAGGTAGCATACATTCCTTCTCGGGTCTTAATTTCTTAAAAAAAATTAAGAATTCCCCATTTCCAACTTGTAATTTACAAAGTATTCCACATTTTCGGCTGAGGCTACCAAATAGGCTATTCTGAAAGCACACAGGCATTTTCCAAAAGCCCAATTCAAAGCTGCGTGTATTCAATATACGTCAACAATGAGTACTTGTGTATTAACTGTACGTTCAGAGACACATCCCCTTTCATTTCTTGCATTTAGTGCCTGAAGTGGGAGGAACAATTTAACAAGGAAGCAGCTGCAAGAACAATGAACCAATCTAAAGCCTAGCGACTCTTAGAGTTCTGTAGTAAAATACACTGTGCAACCAACAATTATATCAAGAAATCAAGCCTCATATGACAGGTGTGCTCTAAGTTGCCTCTTCGCTGCTCTGAGAAATACAAAAAGCCAAAAGGACAAGGAAAAATGCAGTATTAACCATAACAAACTACAAGACATTCATTTTCCCTCCCTGCCCCACTTTTCTGGAAACAAATTAGTAAGAGCTCATTGGAATGTAAAATACACACATTATTTAATTCTCCTAAGAGCACCCCACTTATTTCCTTCCTCCTTTTCTTCATATAAACATGGTTACAAATTAAAAAAAAAAAAAAAAAAAGTATGTTTCCCATTGCTGTATAACCAATTATCAGGAATGTAGTGACTTAAACGTATTACCTTCCAGTTCTGCAGGTAGGAGTCCGGGAACATCGTGGTTGCATTCCTGCTCAGGATCTCTCAAGCCAGAATCAAGATGCCAGCCAGACCCTGTTCTTCTCTGCAGCTTCTGGAGAGCATTCTTCCAAACTCTACTCAAGCTGTTTGCTGAATTCAGCTCTTTGTGCTTATACAACTGAGGTCCGCGTTTCTTTGCCAGCCACCTACATTTCTGAGGGTTGCAATCCCATTCATGTTCAAAGTCAGCAGCAGATCCCCCCCACAACCCCAGGGAGTGAGGGATCCCTCTCATACTCAGGATCTCTTTGCTCAGGAAGAGCCGAGTCCCTTTTAAAATCTCTCCTCATTACCTACAAGCCACCAAGCCAGTCTATCTTAAGGGGCACTGATTAGAAACTTGAATCACCTGAGCAAAAAACCCTTTCCTGCTACGCTGACACCAGGAGGTTTAATTGCCTGCGCACGCACGCTCCCACACCACAGTGGGAACTAGAGGAGCCATTTCGGAATTTTGTTTCCTACGGCCGGCAAACAGGGATTAGAGTCTATCCAATAGGAATTATTAGGTTATTTTTCCTGAACCAGCATTTTGGATTTTAATCTTCTAAAAATATAAACTTTCTTGATCTGTTCAGCCCTAACAGAGAAAGAAAAGCAACTTGGAAACCAGAATACTAAAAGCCAATGGCAATTCTTTTAAAATTCCATTTCCGTCTCATCTAAATAATTGATAATTCCCATTATGGTAGCCTAGTGGTTTTTAAATTCTTTTTAATCAAAGGTTAGTTGTTGATAATTAGGCTCTGTGGAGGATTAAGGAAGCATTAATGATGTGTGAATATTGACCTATAGTTATCTGACAATGCAAATAATTTCCGTATTACCAGCCATCCTCCCGAATTACTTAAGAAAGCTGTCCAGAGAGAAATAAGACTAGACTGAAGACAGCAGGCCCAGGGAGAGATAGAGCACCGGGGGTATCCCATCGACTTTGCTAATGTCAACGGCCATGCTGTTCTAGACTGTAACATGCATCCTTTTCCTTGTTTTCCCCTTTCCCTATGATCATCTTCACAGCATGAACCACTGGTATCAGGAAGTACAAGATAATGTGTTAAGAAACCTTGTCCTCATTCTGCTACACCTTTAATCAGTCGGGCATGTTTAGAAAGGGCAATTATCTCTGGGTCTCACTGGCCACATCCGTAACATAAAACCATGTTAAAATTTTAAAGCTGAATTTCACCTTTGAGATCATGATCTTTCAAGTTCCAACCAGCTTGAGTCATATTTATCCAAACATCAGCTTGTCAAAAGGGAAAATATTCCGATGAGAGAAATGTGGTATTTAAAATGGGTAGTAACAGGGTACTTCGTTCCTGCTTGGAGTAAGTTATCACTTTCATTCCTTTTAAAGTTCTGCATATGTTTTTACATTTCAGTAAACGAAGCATCTTAATCCTGTTCCGAACCCCTCAACACCAGACTCCTCTTCTGCTTCAGTGCTCAACTTTGTTTCCGTTAAAAGAACACTGTTCTACAAAACTGTAGGCACTTCCCAATTCAAAGCCTAATATATTAAAATCAATTCAGTCTTCTCATAATAACAAGGCCATGTCACCCTGCTTTTGCATGATCTGTGAAAAAGAAGAAGCCAGAATTCCCAATTATATTCTTCTGAACTCTGGAATATTGACATTCCTGAACTTTTGACATAACCTATTTCAATTTACATTTGCTGAGAGGTTATGATAGATCTGACTTTATACCAGACCAGGAGTTTCCTACAAGCATCTTTTTATCCTCAGCACATAGCACAATGTTTAGAACTTAGCAGGTTCTCAAAATGTATTTCCAGAATGAGTACAGCAACTGCACAGATTCTGTTTTCAAAGAGCTGACAATCTAGTGGGAAAGAGGGATTTCAGCCCAGTGATACTCATTTCAGGCTTCTAATCTACAAAACTATAATATATTAAGTTTCTGTGGTATTGAGCCACTAAATCTGCGCTAATTTCTTATGGGAGTAATAGGAAGCTAACTTGGGGGTCAGGGAATTGGTTTCAGCTCTGACAAGGCTTCACTGCAGTGGTATTTCATGAGAAACAAGGGTGTGGATGCAGGGGAAGGAAACAGGTGTTGTTTCTGACATGCTTGCTACTCAAAATGTGGTCCATTCTGAGCAGCCCCGGTGCACAGAGCCTTTCTTTTAGAAATGCAAAATGTCAGGCCCTCCTGCACACCTACTAAACCAGACTCAGTGTTTTAATGAGAGCCCCAGGTGAATGACATTCATATTAAAGTTTGAGGAGCAGTAGGTTTGAAGTTCTTCAAAACTATTTCAAAACTTTGATTTAAAATTTCTTTTTTGATACCCAAATTGCCTGGGGGGAAAGAATACTCAACCACACCCACAAGATTGTTGGCTGTAGTTTGTTACCGGTGACAAAAAAAATCAGCATTTCTACTGCTCTTAAATAATGACAAGGCCCTTCAGGAAAATCCATCTGCCCCACCTGCAAAGAATTTTCCTTTGAAAATTCCCTTTGGTTAATAGATTATTGAATGTCAAAAGTTTTACACTTTGAAAAAAATATTAGAATTCCTGGCATAGTACTCACAGAGCCATGTTGTGGAGGACAAAATAATTTCATTCAAATAATACATTTTCTTTAATTACTTTAATATAAAAGACAGCAGTGTTTCATATTTCACATGATATAAAAAAAAGTTTTAAAACCCTCTAATAAGTTTTTAATGAAAATAAATTTATTGAAGGGTAGCAATGACTACAAAATTAATACTACCAAATCATGACTCAAGCCTTTGCCTTAACTGTAATATTTGGAGGGTAGGTAGAGAAAATACCAAACAAGAATATGGACGTTTGAAAACCCTATTTTATCCAACCTATGACTCTTCGCTAAAGCTGATGCATATCGGAAGACATATTCAACGTTGTAGTAAACGCATGCGGCCAAAGTAAAGAAATCTAAAACAGTTCTCCCCTGATTTTGTAACATTGCAAACCATTCTGTTTAAAAAATTGAAACAAAGAATGGCCCAATGAGTATTTTAAGGAAAAGATACAGCTAAAAAAAAAAAAAAGAGAGAACATTAACAGAAAATGAGTGATAGTGACTAGAATAAGAAAATTAGCATCATCAAGAAAGATACATAATTATTCAATATACATTTGTTTGGTTAGATCAACGCTACTTACTCAAGTAAGCTGACTGCATTGTGAAAGAAAGGGGTACCATGATCCATAGGTCTGTTTGAAATTCTCACCTAATAATCCTATTTCAATCTATCTGAAAAGTAAAAGCACTGAGTCTGGGCTACAACAGACATCTTAATAATACTATGAAAGTCTAACCATTATTGGTACATTTTTTTTAATTTACAGTGCACAATTTGAGAAAATGTCACAAGAGTATTCACGTTAAAAAAATAATGACCAGTGGACACAATATACACAAAACAGGCACCTTCATTATAATTATTTTAATAAATAAAAGCACATTAACCCAAAAAAGAAAAGAAGAAGAAGAAGGTAGGCAGCACCTGAAGCCTTTGACATTTGTAACTAAACGTTGGTACCCAAATGGTCTAAGTGGTTATGTTTGACTAAGAGGCGCAAAAAAGGAGCCAAGTTTTGACTTTAACATTTTAATTCTAGTAGAGACAAGAGCTTGTCCAGGCTTACAGTCCTGTCACCTGATGGTGAGCAGCATACCAGACCTTCAAATGTCCTTATACTTTGGAAAGCAGGCCTGACTCTGGAGCACTCGCCTTAATTAAATTCTGAATTTCCTTGAATTTTGGATGGTCTTTATCTGCCACCAGCTGTAGCAGAACAGCTTCACTCGTAGTCACTATGATCCCGGTTCGAGCAAGACGCTTAAAAAAAATAAAATAAAATAAAGGCAAATCAAGAAATGAGCACAACAAGGAACACTGTATTAAACAGCAAAAGCTATGGCGGGATACAATAATTAGTGTCCTCTATTAAAGCCATGGTCCTTAGCCAGACCATCCACTTAAGTGATGGGGACAGATTTCCAACTAGTCACACCACAAACTGATTACAATTATTCTCAGTAATAATAATGTGGACTAGAAACAAGGAAAAGAAAATATGTAGCTAATGTTATGACTTATATGTGCCAGGCATAGAAGGGACATCAAGATTATGAGGGTAAAACAATGACTTTTAATTTCTTTCTTTCTTTCTAAGATTTTATTTATTTATTTATTTGACAGACAGAGATTACAAGTAGGCAGAGAGGCAGGCAGAGAGAGAGAGGGGGAAGCAGGCTCCCCGCTGAGCAGAGAGCCCAATGCGGGGCTCGATCCGAGGACCCTGGGATCCTGACCTGAGCCGAAGGCAGAGGCTTTAACCCACTGAGCCACCCAGGCGCCCCGACTTTTAATTTCTTTTTTCTGTCTCCAAACATATGATACAGCAATGTGTGTCCTTCCCATAAGTCAGAAAGAACTGGTTGTAGGAGAGCCTCATGCAATTTGTAAGAATGTGCCCCTGTGGCACCTGGGTCACTCAGTCCTTAAGTGTCTGCCTTTGGCTTAAGTCATGATCCTGGAGTCCTGGGATCAGCCCCACATCGGGCTCCCTGCTCCGCCAGAAGCCTGCTTCCTCCTCTTCCACTCCCCTGCTTGTGTTCCCTCTCTCACTGTCTCTAACAAATAAATAAATGAAATCTTGGGGAAAAAAAAAAAAAAAGAGTGTGCCCCTGGGCTGATAACAGACCCACCAGCACTGCCACCACCATAAACTTCAGAATCATGAAACAAGAGCATAACATTTAAAGTTTCGCTGACAGATCAAAGAATGTTGTTGCCAAACTGCCCCAGTGGCATCATAATAAAGAAGCAAGGACAGAAGTCTCAAGGTGGGAAGAAGGGAGAGAGGAGGGCAAAGAAGACAAAATTGAGAACAAGCAGGAGAGGGGTAGAGAAGGGAATGAGAGAGAATTCTAGAGTTAGAGTTGTCTTCTCTGGCCATCTCTATTATCAGAAACCATAGGGAAAAACCTGGCCAACCGCTGTCCCTTGAACCCTCTGCTGTAAGAACCAAGGAGAGAGGCAGAGACCTAATTCCCAGGCAGGTCAGGGGAAAAGACCCAGGTCAGTGACTCTTCATGAAGGAGGAGTCAGAACAAGAACCAGGACATCCTCCAGGAGCAAGGTGAAGCCTTGCAGATGTGCAAGCCTAACCTATACTGGCAGAGTAAACCCCTTCTTTTTGTCCCCAAGGACGCAGAAGGGAGAAGCTCAGCCCACTACTCAGAAAGCCAGCGTGGACCTCAGCAGCCTGTGTGGAAAAGTATGCAGGGCAGCTGACCAGCAGGCTTGAGGAAAGAAAAAACAGCAGAATTACATAGGAAAGAGGGAGAAAAAACCAAGTGTGCTAGTACCCTGTATGTTGGGGACAAATACCCAAAAGTGAGTTTTTTGAAGACTTCTGGAAACTAAAGTCCTCCTCCTTTTAGTCCACTTCTGACTATCCTATCAAAACCCTTAGACATCTCCAGGACTGTGTGCTTCCCTCCCAGAGAAGAGCAGGGGACAACTGTAAGACTAGAGCAGCTCCTGCCCTGACCAGCTGGCAGCCCGGCCTGGCCTTCCTCAAGGCTCGCAGTTTAATGGGGGGACTCTCAAGGATTCACTCTGAATCTTAATCACACACTTGCAGTGTCTGTGAACACGCCTGATGCATGCAGAAGTGCCAAAGAAGTCAGTTCTCACTCATCTTTCTAGCTCCTCCGTGAGGCAGAAGGACAGAGAACTGCTCCCAGGTCTACGGAAGAAAGCAGATAACCCCTGAAAACACCAGCTTTCCCTAGGGCTCCGCTGACCACAATCTGCTGGACTGACGGCAAGTCAGCAGTCCCCGGTGAGAGTCGGGTCACCGTGGCAGAGGTGGGCTGGGATGCTCAAGGCACAGAAATACATCTTAGTCAACTGACGCCAACCATGGCTTCAAGACGGAGATACGGCCAAGGATGACTGGATTTAAAAAAAAAAAAAAAAAAAATCCAAGCCCCTCCCCCCCCCCCAAAAAAATCAAGCAAAGAACCTACGTAAGCAGAAGGCGTGGCTCAGCAACATGCAAAGTTTTCAGAACCGACTCCTGGACCTTCCCACGGTGCCTGCCAACCCCAAACTGAATGCCTGAGCAAAGAGAGAAAAGCGGAGCTTCTGCAGACACAGGCGGGTCTGGGCACACCCACAGGCACTATAAGGACACCTCCAGTCCTTCTCCCAAACTCTCTTTCTTTCCCGGCTGAAAATGAGGCAGAAACTTCAAACCACACCTCTTTAATGCACACAGGTATAGGGCTCCATCGGCTTCCAAAGTTCATCCCCTACACTTACAAAACCAGTCCCGCAAGGTCGAAGCAAAAGTTACTCTGACCCACAAACCTCAAAATGCAAAGGTACAAAGCCATGAGACCTTCAGAGAGGGCAAAGGGGGGGTGCTAAACCCAGTAAATTTCCAATCAACATGAACCCTCCCCACCCCCACCGTAAGTCCAAGGGTATCAAGTTCCAGAGAGGGTTTCATTCTATTTTATTCTGCATTTACTCTACAATTATTAGTTGAAAGAAACAATGCCTGACAAACGGTTGGTGCTCAAAATATTCTGTTGAAGACAGCACATGCCACAAACCCAGGCCCCGAAGTTTCAGTAACAGTATCTATAAATCTTTTTAATATAATGATCTCAACAGGCAATGTGGGTAGTCTCAGGAATTCCCGTGAGGAGCTGTGTTCTAAAGGAACAGGGAAGGTGAGCTGGCCGGATTGCTCTTTAACTTTCAAAGTCCTACAGTAAAAGAAATAAAACTAACACTTCTCCCAATAATCTAGGTACAAACTACAACACCTCCATCAAAAATTAAGACTAAGAGAAAAATCTGCAGTGTGGCACGCCTCCCCCATCACGATCTGACCTGATTCTCTCTTTTCACTTTGCAACCTCTGTGCTTGAACCCACGCGATGATGGTTGCTCTGTCTCACCCAAAGCCACCAGACAACCACACTCCCTCCTTCCTGCTGGGTCTGAGAAGCTGACCTACTGCTTCTACATTTCGGGTTAAGACTAACTGCATGGATACAACAACAAATAATAACCACAAGAGAAATAAATGCAGCAGCTAATATTTGAGTGTTTACTTCATCGGACGCTACACTAAGTGCTGTCAACACCTTACCTCACTAACCCACACCAAATCCCCCAGTGGGGTGGCTTTTCACTATATCCACTTCCCTGGTAAGAAATCTGAGGCAGTGGGGCTCCTGGGTAGCTCAGTCATTAAGTGTCTGCCTTCGGCTCAGGTCACGATCCCAGAGTCCTGGGATCGAGACCCGCAGTGAGCTCCCTGCTCAGCAGGGAGTCTGCTTCTTCCTCTCCCACTCCCCCTACTTGTGTTCCCTCTCTTACTGTCTCTCTCTGTCAAATAAAATCTTAAAAAAAAAAAAAAAAAGAAAGAAAGAAAGAAAAAACTCTGAGCCATGTGTACTAGATAACTTGTCCCTGGACATACATTTACAAAACGCCAGGCCTTGCATTCAAACCCGTAATATCCCTCCAGTGTCTAGACTCCTAATCACTGAGATGAGACGACTTCCCAGAGTATCTGATGGTAAAGAGGTTCACCATGTTTGTATCCCCAGTGTTAGGAGGAGACAGAGGTGCCAACAATCATAATTTTCTGTAATAAATGCCATAATAAAGACATGTCTCAAAAACTTATTTGAGTGGAGGACAAAGTCCTTGCAATTTCTTTATAAGCAAGATTGTTATTTTTGGATGTTTTTAGTTTTCCACTTCCGTGGAAACACTTCAAGTTCTGGCCCTCAGCCTTCCTAGAGAAGGGATGGCCAACCAGGGTCTTAAAGAAGCTACTGCTGCCACCTCCCCACTTGCTTCTGCATCGGTCTTCTGCACAGACTTTTCTTCTTTCTTGCCTATACTCTCTCATTTGCCCTACCTCAACACCCCTGAGAACACTCCTGGCAGAAGCAATGACTTTGCAATCCAACACAGAAAGTGGTTCATAGGCCAGCTTGGGCCTGAACACTGGAGGATCTCAACAACGACAAAAAAATCTGTATTTCCCATTCTCAATAAAAATCATCAGTTAAAGAATATGCCAACTCAATCCACATGGACATGACTCTAAAATTATTACAGAACTAGAATTAAATGCAAGAGAGAGAACAATCTACAATATGGAGTGTTTCAAAGGATTATGTGGTAGTTTGCTTTTCAACAGTCTTGGAAGAGAAAATGCTTACAAAAGAGTACTGTTAAGCAACACTGACAAAATATCTCTGATTCCCTGACTATGGTCCACCCTGATCCTCTGGGGCAGACAGCCGAGAAATACTATGTGTGAGTGGTGTCCAGAGGCAGTAACACACCTCCCATTGCCCAGAAACTCAAGACGGAGGAAACCCGACAGAGGCTGAACCAGGCTTAGGCATGCCCTAGGGTTGGGCATGGCCAGCCTAAGCCTGATTCAGCCTCTGTTAGTTAAACTAGGTGGGCTGTTTCTGATTTGCAAATCTCTCAGTGATGCAGATTAAGCTTACTAGAAGGCTTCTTACAAGTTCATACATCAAACCATAGCAAAGTCATGAGAAAAGATGTATGAGAGCTTCTGGTATCACTAGAAACCTAGATCTGAGGAGATGGAAGATATAAAAGAAGATTTAGTGGCAACACCTCAAAGGTCGGTCAGCACACCACCAAGACTCTGGAAGTCAGGGAATCTGAAGTTGTCAAAAGACACGCAAATTGAAGATGCCAATTTTTCATTATTATGAAGTATTCATGATTCTTCAAATTAATCGGGAAAATTTGGTAAATTACTTATTTTCAAGCAGGACAATTACCTCAAGAGCAAACATCCGGTCCATCATGCTTCTCGATGAGGTGGCATCAGCAACAATATGAACCTCAATACCTCGGCCCACTAGTTCCAGAGCTGTCTGCTGGATGCACACATGAGTCTAGGAGGGACATTAAAAATCCTACGTAATAATGTGGGCACACATTTTACAAACATGTGACAACATGATAAAGCAGAAAAAAGCACTACAGTTCTCATGACCTTGCCCTCCATCTGGCCTTGCCTCTAACTTGCTAGGTCATCTTGAAAATAAACATCTCAGGCTTTGGTCTTTGGTTTCCTCACTGTAAACTCAGAAACTGGATTCCATCAAGCTTCCTCACACTAGGATCCTTGAGCATATACTTGGAGCTCCGTGACAATTTTTTCAAAAGGATTTTCATCTGTCATCTGGATGACCTTCCTAAGGCTGACTACTACCACTCCGTTTTGATGCTGCTCGTGGTTGGGTTTATTTCTGAACTCACTCTGAGTGCCCAACACAAAGAATGAGTCAGCAGTACTGTACACGGAGAAACAAGTAGAAAAACTAAGTTGGTACGAGGTACCCAGTAGTAAAGGTAGGCCAAGTTAAAAATAACAAGTGACAAAGGCAAAAAATATCCGGTATACAGCACAAGCAGATGTATCATACAGATTCCGTCTTTGTAGGTAGTAACTTGTAACAATTCATTAGCAGACAATACAGAGCAAAACCATGCCCGAAAAGAGCTCTGTTATATAAGCAATGAAAGCACATTTCAATAATACCAGGATGCCAAACTTATGTGCACGTGACGAGTGAACTTTGGAGAATTATCAACTGGCATGCCATTAAAATTGGCACTGGAGGACTGTTCAAAGATGATTTTGATTAGGCATGAAGTATAATAATGACGAATGAGCAAAAACAAAGTGCCCAAGTCAGCAAAAGTATTTGGCATGACATATTTATATCAATAGGCTTCCTCTGTATTATCATTATTGAAGTCAAAATACAAAAATATTTAACGCACACCTAAAACTAAGGCTGCATCCTTGTACTCTTAAAACCTACAGTATAAAACCTACTATCATAGGTATATTAAATTTATACTATTTGGATTTCACTGTATTTATCATTTTTTTCCATAATTTTAAAATTTAATTCAATAACTGTTTAAATGCTATGAATAAATACATATATTCTGTATATACAAATGCCAAAAAACCAGATCAAACAGAAAATCATTTTAATCCACATAAAGAATCTTGAGTATTTTTTTCCTTCAAAAAGTAGGTAAGTGATTCAAGTGGGAAGGACAAGGAACTACATGACTTCTGAGGTTTTTCTACAGCAAAAATATGACCAAGGTGAAATCCTATAACACATAAATAAAAATAACGCCTCTGAATGTAGGCTGATCGATTCTTGTGCCTCTGCTTTTAACTACTACTTTTGGGGCACTGTGTTTTTCTGCTGTGATATGCATCCCTTAACCAGCTACCTGCTCCAAGCAAGTTGCACAGCATGTGTGTTTTAGTTTCCTCATCTGTAATAGGGGGAGACCCAGAGTACTTCATTGGCTCAGAAAGTCACTGGGAGTGTTGAATGACTGAAGAACTACAGATCACTGCCATGCAAAGAGTCAACACTCATTGAAGGGTGGTGGATGTTTCTCATCATTACTATCACCTACCACCTAGCCTACACATAAAATCGCACTGCAGTTTTTCTACAAATGACATTGTACCCCAAACATAACAAAATGCACTTACTTCTACTCCAAATAATACAACACTCCTGACTCCAGGAATCTCGGCTAATGCTGCTTCTACTTCTGGTATTACCATTGAAAACCTGGTCTTCGGAAGGACCAGTTTTACACCTGTTAGGTCAATTTCTTGAACGGTGCTTCCAAGACCTTTAGGGTACTGTTCTGTTACAATAACTGGAATTCCTAACATTCGGGCCCCTTGTAACTAGAAAAAACAAACAGAAAACAAGGATAATTAGCAATTTATGTATTTTGTAACTATATAAATGTATACCATGCTTTAGGGAATTGGAAAAATAAAGAAGCAAACATACCAATCTTTGTCCCACGCTAATAATATCCCCAAAATATTTGATGGCTGGTCTGAATCGCTCCTGCATATCACAGCAGAAAAACACAGTGCTTGAAGGTGTGAGATTTCCCAGGGTGGTGAGCTGAGGAAAGAAGAAAAAAGAATGATTTAGCACTCGTTATATGACGACATTTATTTTCAGTGGAGGTCAATAAAGGAGAAAAGTGTTCCTACTGTTTGACCTAGTAAGTCAATTTCTACAACTATTATCCTAAGGAAGTGATCTGAATTATTGAAAAAAAAATTATCCACAAAGATGTTGACTGAATTGTTTATAATAATGAAAATCAGAAAAAAACCAAGGACCAACAATACAGAAAAGACTTCACAAAGTTTAACACACTCCCATGAGAAAAAATTTTTTAGAGAACTAAAATAATATATGCAAATAAGTTTTTAAAAATATTTGAACCATCTATGAAGAAATGCTCATGATCTAATATTAATTTTAAAAAGAGAGCACAGGGGCACCTGGGTGCTCAGTCGTTAAGTGTCTGACTTTGGTTCATGTCATGATCCCAGGGTCCTAGGATCGAGCCCTGCATTGGGCTCCTTGTTTGGCGGGAAGCCTTGCTTCTTTCTCTCCCTCTCCAGATGCTTGTGTTCCCTCTCTCTCTGTCTCTCTCTCTCTCTGTCAAATAAATGAATAAAATCTTTTAAAAACAAATAAATAAACAAATAAAAAGAGAGCACTGAAGTTCAGCAGTATTTCAATCATGTAAAAATATAAATAGAATGTAGAAGCAAATACATGTAAATATTAACAAGTAGTTACACAGTTATGGGTGTCAGTCATATTTTTTTCTTTATACTTCTCTTACCTTCTCCAAATGCTATTTAAAAACACTTCCCAAACGTTATTTAAAAGTACACATAGCTTTTACTGTTAGAAAAAAAAATGTTATGATGGTAAACAACTTAAGTTTGATGATGGCATTGCTTCTAAGTACAAAAAGTAACCCTGAAAATAATCTGTAGCAGAGACTATGGAACATAAAACTAAAAAATCAGAACAAATTCAGAACTGCTGCTGTCATCAAGACAGAAATATTAAGATGCTGTTCTCAGGAATAACTTCTCAGAGTTCAAAAAAAGAAATGCAATGAAATAATGCCAAGCACATCACCACTGTTCAATGGACAGACATAAATTGGACACCTGCATTCATCAACAAATTCATCATCATCAGGAAATTAATGAATTAAGGTTAAAAACAGGTATTAGATTACCCAGCTGGACGTTAATTGCCATAGTTGGTCTACAGTAACAACGTGGGCCCAGGAGGAGTCTACAAAAAAGTGGAAAGCCGCTGATGAATGTTAAGAATTTCATGTCACTCATGCATTCTTCAGGGTCCATGATGCTGTTCTTCCTGCCTTCTCAAATTTCAGAAAGCACTGCAGAGGAAGCAGTCTGGTCCTGAATGAACCCATGCCCCTCCTCTTACTAGCCAGCCCTTAGATCTCCCCTCAATTTTCCCATTTTGCCCAAAAACCACCCATGGATAATGTCTGTTAATAATTTTCTAGAGAAAACCCTGTGTCCCAATTACATGATGGTGGCTTCCCCACCAGCCTGGCCCTACACACTTCCAGGAAACAGTTACTACAGGAATTAGGTGCATCATTAAAAGGAATCTCTTATCCTTCCATTGAGTCTGTACTTCCTTATCTATGTGCTGGTCTGAGGAACGCTGGCACCCATCTCCCTCTACAGACCAAATTCATGGCAGAATGGGAGTGCCATCTGTAATGCTAACACTATGTAAAAGGTTTCCCTACTTTGCCAATAAAGGATGATCAAAATAAATATTCAAGCATCTTAAATTACATATTCTATCTTAAACTGTTCGCTCCCTTAAATTTTTAATGCAAGTATCATTTTCCAAAGCAGGGAGCGTGACATATATATATAAGTACCCAGGACACAATTTTTTAAAACCAATCACTATTTATGAATACATATTTTAAATTCTCAGTAAAAATTAAATTTTGGATCAAAGGGCTCAAAGTCTAAGTGGATCCCTAGACACCCACAATGTGTTTAGGGCACATGACAGAATGCAGTTTACCTGCAACTGGTCTGTTTCAAATTACAGCAATGCAACTCAGTCATTCTCGTCATTCCATGGCAGTGAAAGAAGCACGCAAGCAAAATAAACCAAACTAAGTGTGCCAGATGGCCAAACACTATCATACTCAGAGCTCGTGGCCGCTCTATCTCTAGCTCGCAGATCTCACCTCAGATAACGGACGAACTCTGGAACTCTGTACACATTCCCAACAAGTTTAGTCCTCCTGGCCCTAAACTCACAGAAGGTTATGAACAGCAAATCAGAAAGTAAGCGGCTAGAGACAGGCAAACTGGTATCAGCAAGAAATGATAGGTGACAGAAAAAAAATTCAAAGTACACTAAAAGCAGATCAAAACTCAACTAGTTCCACATCTAGACTTCTAGTGGAACAGTATGTATATAATAACATAAATTGGGACATCATTTTAGCACACTCAACTAAGAAAATGTTAAATTATATAATACTTCAGGGCTATGATATTAAAATGGCCAAATGTATTGGGATACATAAAGGAATAAAGCCTTACCTATCCAGAAACCCTAAATATTCAGAGTTGTAGTCTCCTGGTGTTTCTGTTCCTACCTCCTTTCAGCTATGAGGTCTCCTATTCTGGGCAGGGGGCCACATCAGATATATGTCATAGTGGACACAGACTGAGGATGTCAAAAAATGCAGCCACAAAATCCTCACCACCTTGAAAAACCCTTCTAGTATAGGAACTCATCTATTAACCTTCAGCAAACAGAGAAACGACAGAGATAATGTGACAAGGCATGTTCTTGTGCAGAGATGACTGGCTATAATTTAGTGAATCAAAAATGCCCAGACAGCCTCCTCTCAGTAAGTCAGAGTTTAACTCCTGGTATCCCTCTTGGATGTGGACTGCATGAAAGACTTGCTTCCTCAAAGTAGAATATAGAGGAGGCAACAGGGTGACTATTTACAATGGAAAAAATCTGCAGACACTGCCTCAGCCAGGTGATCAAAACTCAGACAATCAGTCATGCCACATTGCTAGTATATCGACTTGAAAAAATGTGATAAGAACGACCTTCACCATCTGCCTCGCAAAATCCCACAGCCCCATTTGAAGTGTGCGAAAAACATCAGATAAACCAAATGAGATACATTCTACCAAAATATCTGACCAGTACTCCGCAAAACTGTCAATGTCATCAAAAACTATACAATACAATACAGACAAAACAAGTCTGAAAACCCAAGGGAGCCTAGGAAGACATGACAACGAAACATAATTAGTATCCACGAATGGACTATGGAAGAGAAAAATGGCATTCGGGAAAAACTAGTGAAATGTGAATAAAGTGTAGAACTCAAGAGATTCGAATGTACCAGTGCTGGTTCCTTGGCTGTGACAAGCATTGTGCCCAGCAATGTAAGATGGGAGTCAGGGGGGAAACTAGGTACAAGTATCCAGGAACTCTCCAGGCTATCTCTGCAACTATGCTCTAACACTGTGCTAAAACTAAAAGCTTATTTAAAAACAACAACAACAACAACAACAACAACAACAAAAAGGTATCCCTACGCTACGGTAGTTGGGAAAAAAAAAATTGCTACTTTTGATAAGCCAGAAAGAAGGCTTTGAGGCTACAATAAAAAGGAGAAAAAGCAAAACAAAACTACCCTGAGAAACTCTAACCATGTCCCACCAATCCATCCCCCAAATTCACATGAATTCAATAAGTTGTTATTCAATTACACACTGCCTCTAAAACCCAGACTTCTTAACTTGACTCATGAATTTCTCTTAAAGCAAAAACCTTGTAGATAACTAAAAATGCTGCTCAAACATACACTGCAACTGCAAGATAGCAAATTAAAAGTACACTGGGTCAAATGCTGTCACAAGTTAAAACACAGCAATTACAAATCATTGCATATTCAAGAACCATGAAAAAAATCATGTATAAAAAATGTGTGTGTGCGAACATACACACCTTCATTTATCTATATATCTGCAAACATCTCTATACATGCAGACACATAGATAACACATATCTCAATAAACATATTCAAATACAAAAAACTGGTCAGAACCTGTAGCACCCTTCAGAGATCAACTGCAAGTATAAATTTTTGTCCATTTTCTTAAGAAATGTCACAGCTGGAATCTGACCAGATTTAACAGTTAAAAGACTTTTCATCCCCAAGTCCCATTATTACATTATTATATTATCACGACTTTATATCCCCCTCTTCATTACCACCTGTGTTCTGACCATTTTCTAACAGCAGCTGTCCATTCTCAAGGAACCTGTCCTTCCTCGGTTAAGTGCCCCTGGTTACTCAGGACAGGCACACAGACGGAGGCTGGCCTTGCTCAGTGATACTCTATCTGTGCTCCAGTTCTGTGTTTCCACAAAACCAATTCACGTTGAGTGTTTTATGTTGAATTGTATCCCCCCAAATTCATATATTGAATTCCTAACCTCCAGGACCTCAGAAAGGACCTTATTTGGAAATAGAATCATTGAAAAATAATTAGTCAAGATGAGGTCACACTGGAGCAGGGTGAGGGCTGACACCAACATGACTAGCATCCTTATTAAAAGAGGCAATCTGGACAGAGAAGGCCTTGGGAACATGAAGGCAGTGATGAAGGTGATGGGTCTATACACCAAGCAATGCCAAAGATGGCCAGAAAACCAAGAGCCCAGGAAAGAAGCATGGAACACATTCTCCCTCACAGTCCTCAGGAGTCGACCCTGAATGTTAGCCTCCAGAATGGGCGGAAGTAGGCTTCTGTTGTATAAGCCACTCAGTGTGTGGTACTTTGTTTTAACAGCCTTCTAGTGAGAACTACTACTGTGTGTCTTTAGGAATTATTAAAGTTTGGAATTGTAAATGGGATGTGTTCAAAACCGAGGCAGTCTATGAGAGTCACAAGATAGGCATGATATACTTGGGAGAGAGTCCAGAAGGGACGGTCAGGTACCAGAATTTCCACTCAGAAATGTTTGCAAGGAAATGTGATTACCACAGCTACAGCAAGGCCTTGCTCCCCCGGGGTAGCAGAGCTGTGGGCAATAGAATCTGAGACCAAATCTCAATTTCCCTAAATTCAATTACATGAAATCAGACAAATCATTTACATTTTCAAACAGCAGTGTCTTAATCTATAACAAGGCAACAAAACAGTATCTACCTCAGAGGGCTACTTCAAGGATTAAATGGGCTTCATATAATCAAACAATAAATTCATAGTCCCTACTCTCAAACACTGCTTGTTTACAGGTAGCCTCCACTAAGGGGAAAAAAGTATGCAATGCTTGGGGCAGTAATACAAAATGTTAAATTTTTTTTAAAGTGACACACACAACACATTCTATCTCTCTCTCTCTCTCCCATCAAACCAATGGGGGAGAGACAAACCACATCCCTCACATTCCAGCTGTTTCCTCTCAGTGCCCTGACACTATTCACCTCCCAGAGATCTGTCCTGCCTGCTTCTCCATTCTGTTTCTGAGCATTACTATCTATCTGCTCCTCCTACATGCTCCCACAGTAAAGGTTTCATAATCAAAAATCACCACCTTCAAACTAGCAAGCCCAAGGGAAAACAGATTCCTTTCCTTCATCTTCCCAAACCAGGTCTTCTCTCCCTTCCCACCATGAACTCTGGGGTCTCTTCTGGCTAATAAATGCCATGCCCTCTGTTAAAAATAATAATAGAATATTAATAGTAGTAATAAACCTCTACGAAAGTGAAGGTGCTCTGGAGCCAAATACCTTCCCAATTAACCATCTCAGGAAAGGTCAAAATAACCTTCCCAGGGAAGCCCTTATCTCCCACCCACACAAAGCTGCCAGAGCCTTCCCTCCTACATACAAAGGGAAAATGGCCTCACTGGCATTCTCCTTGTCATGTCCACTTCTTCCTCTCTTCTGTTTGGGCTCTGCCTTCCATGGTGACAAGCTGGAAAATACACTGGAGGTGGTAGGATATCAAATGTACAGGAGTCTCCAGGGTTGAATGTTTCCATTAGTAAAAACTTGGGAAATACCTTAGGAAAAATTAAAACTTGGAAGTTATAAAAATGACCTAAATTCCCACTCTTCAATCCTCTCATTTACATTTCTTCCTTTGTGTCTCAAAATGCCTCGGACTTCAAGCATTCTGACAAAGCAGAAAACAAATAAACCATGCTTGAAACATGAGCTGTCTTCAGCTACCTGAGCTGTCAGCAGACACTCGGTCCCTGTGAGATGATTTCAGAGAAGAAGACACTCAAAAGTCCAATATTCACAATGGGGGTCTCAAAGATCAGTCCCCACAGAACCACTAACCCACTACAGGTGCACACAATATGGCACAGGCAACCACTCTGTTACACGGTCATGGCAGCAGCAGTCAGAACAAGAGTGAAAGCAAAGCCACTCCCCTATGCAAATTAAGAATATATTCTAGAATATAAGTACGTGAGCCAGGGCCCTAGAGGCTCTAAGGTCCAGTTCAAGCAAATAACAAGTTACATTATTTAAGCAGAGGACTACATATGGCCAAACTTATGCTCTCTGTCCCTGCTGCTGGGAGAAAGGGACCATCAGGCCCCAGGAGCATGGCCTCACTGAGGGGCCATCCTGAGTCTTCTTAAGTGACAGGCACTGATTTCAAAGAACAATGAACACCAGCAAAACAAATGATATTACAAACTCAAGTTTGTGGCCTGTTCTCTATTTTGCCTGATATTTTCATTAAGCATGAGAAGAGAAGATGAATGCTATGGTCAGCTACCAAGGAGGGACTTCACAAGCTTTGATGGCTACACCATTATCAGAGAACCTTGGGCAATTTCTTCCATTTTCTGCTATTTTGCAAAATGAGAGGTTATCAGGTGAGGAATAAGAATGGGGTCTTATCCATGTTTGAATTCACTGTGCCAGGCACTTAAAGCTGCCACTCAAACGTTTGTGTGATGAACTCTATGGTCTCATTTACCTATAAAATATCCATGTCTGTAGGATTACACAGCTAGGTTCCAAAAACATGTAATAAATTGTTCATGAAAAGAACTATCTTCCCTTTCACTTCTAAGTATATACACACTAAGTACACATATGTCTATATTAGAGACATATACTCATATACATATAAATAGGTATCAGAATAGCTTTATGGGTATATATGGAATGTATGTAGCCTTCCACATTTATTTTATAGCTGGAGGAGGCACCGGGCCGAAGAAGTCAACGTATTATTACTAAAAGGAGACAGCATAAAGAAAAATACTGTTAAAAACTTTAAAATATTTAAGGTATTATGTAACAGACTTTTAAGAACTCTTGGGCTATTTAATGAGATATAAATAATATCTTTAAAAAGATTGAACAGAGCTGTGCTATTATAATTATTATTTTAAACATCACCACCAAAAAAATGTTATCTCCTATACCAAGCAAAATATTTCAAAAGCCACAAGTTACCTGAATTATAAAATGGCTTTTGAGAATGTCCAGGACATTTCAGATATACACATATACATTACTAATTTCCAGCACGTTTCATTAAAATCAGTTGGGAGACATGGGCCTTGAATTTTTCAAAATAAATAAGTCTTATCTTGCGGGGAAGGGGAATAGACTTAGAGATGTGAAGTGGGGGGGGGTCACTAGTTTGGCATAGTATCTTATTAGGTATAGCCCACCCTCCCTCTCAACCACTACAGAAAATGCATCACAAAGAAGTCTGCATCTTCAGGTCAGCTGCAGACCTCCTCAGTTAGAATTTGGATTCTGGCCTTTATTAATGGATTTGTCAAAGGTGCATCCAACTTCTTGGGTATGTTGGCAACAATAACCTAAATACAAGAACAAGGAAGACTGCAGAAAGGTGTCAGCCACGAAAACTCTTGAAGACATAAAAAATGGGGGGCGAGGGTCGGGGGAGTTGTAGTAAACACCTTCCAACCACCATTCTCACAATTCTCTGTATGGGCAACAGGGCAAATTCTGGGGTATCAGAGATCATCCCTTTAGAATCCCCACAGGGCTAAACAGTGGAACCTCACAGCCTTTGTCCTTTGAACACAGGAAATTTATCCAGGTAAAAGTATCTGCTTTGGAAGCTTCTTGCAGGGGTGCTGGGGGCTGGCATGGGTGCTGTGGTGATAAGAAACAAAACCAATTCTGCAGCTACTGACTACAGCTGGGCGGAAGAAAAATCTAGAATAATCTTAAGAATATGACAAGTTAAAAAAAAAAAAAGAATATGACACTTGAATATTAAGACGCCTTCTAAGCCTGATTCCCACATTTCAATTTGGTCTTCCGAAGAAATGGCTTATCAGTTTCTCAACAAAAGAAAAATTGTTGATAGTGTAGCACCTAAAATATATCTTACGTTCTCTCTTTCCAAAAATAAAAATCATCCAGTGAATCCTCTGAGCGTAAAAAGAACAAGAGACAGGCCCGCATAGTTATTAGTGCATGATTTTAAAAATATATATATATCTATATATATTTAAAAGCTATAAAATAATCCTCAGGTGCAATAACTTTCTCGGCCAGCACCATCGGGAAATCCTGGTGGAGGGAAAGTTGGGGAATTAACAAGGTATTACAGTCCTGGCGTCAAATGACTTTTTGAACGCAGGCGACGCATATATAATCAAGAGATCCAGTAACCGGTTACCAGGATGAGGCTACGCAAATGGTTATTTCACTTAAGGTTAACGGAGGCTTAAGCTCCAGGAACTACAAACTGGAGAGAGGAGCGGGGAAAGGCCTGACTCCTGAAGTTTGTGTTTCCGCAAGTGGTAAACACAACTCCGGGTAACAAACCCTAAGGCCAATACCCCCATCAACTCTTCACCCCCATTCGGCAGCACTCCCACAGAAAACCACAGCGAGTACCGCACAGCCCTTCGGTTACGCAGGCTGCTGGACTCGCTCCTGGCACACAAAGCGGATGCGGCCGGTCGAGGACCACACACGTGGGGGCGTTCTCGCGTGCCCAGACGCGCTGGGAGGCCCACGCCCCCGCTTCGGGCGAGGACAGCTGGTGACCGTCACCTTCGGACTGGCCCATTCTCTGAGCCGTCCCCGAGGACTGCGCTCGCGGCGCAGCCCTCCCCAGCCAGCGAGGCGCGCAGGGCCCGGAGCCAGGGCGGCGCGGGGCACCTGAGGAGCGCGGCGGGGGCGGGGACAGAAACGCGCGGTGACCGGCAACAGCGGCTGGGCGCGCGGCCCTGCCGCGGGACCCACCTGGATCTGAAGCGGCACGAGGCGGACCTTGCAGCGCTCGCTCACCGCGAAGCCCTTGGGCAGGTCCACGTACTGGCCCCACTCCTCGGCGAAGAGCTGCACCACGAATTTGCGGTGCATGTCGATCTGGTCGCCATACAGGCTGAGGAACTTCTGGATGAGCAGCTCGTAGCCCGCGCCGTGCGGCACGGACGAGGGCCGCGCGAAGACCGAGAAGCAGAAAAGCACGGGGACCGTACCCGACGGCGCCCCCGCCCCGCCGCTGTTGGGGAGCGCCGGGACAGCCAGCTCCGCCGCCGCCATGTTCCCCCCAGTGTCTGCCAGCTCCGAGGCCAGCAAGGCGCAGACAGGGCCGGCCGCCGCGGCCCCGCCTCCCCGCGCCGCCCTCCTGCTCGGGAAGGCGAAGGGGCGGGCCCTGGCGGCCGCAACTCGCGCGCCCTCCCCCGCCCCGCAGAGGGCGGACCGCGGCAGAGAACCGGGCGGTGGGGCCGGAGTGCGCGCCAGCCAGCGCCTGCGCTCGCCGCCGGGACCGCCCCCTCCAACCTGGACTTGGCTAGGCGGCCACCGCGCGCGTCTAGCACGCGGGGGAGGTGTGTGGCCCCCAATTCCCCCGCGCTCCGCCCACCTTCGAACAAGCGCTGTTCGCGGGGAGTTACGTTCTGCTTGGGGACCGAGGGCTGCCCAGCTTTATCTGCCAGGACGCGTTACCTGTTGGCCTTGTGCAGAGGCAGGGTGGCAGCAGTAATGTCAAAACCAATTGGTCAGACTAGTACAGACCCTAAGAAGAGCAGCAGAATTTAATGTTTCCTTAGAAGGGTCATCCGAGGCTCAGGATTTCATATTTTTTCAGTCCCATGGGACACAATATCTCTAGTAATGAATTTGAGGTCTTGGCCTCCCTTTATCTCATCCCAATTTCAGGGAGAATTTGGATTGGGAATTGCAAAAGATAAGGAGGTTTATGAGCAAAGTCTTTAGGAAAATCTGGACTTTATATTCAAACTGAGCATTTCTGTTTTTAAGCGAGTAAGAGGGATCACCTTCAAATAAAGTAATCCCCTGCCTTGTGAACACTGTAAAGCACTATATAAAATTAACGGGAATTAGAGAAACATACGCTATGAAACAAGTTTCCCTAACATCAACATCAGGTCCTGGGTCAGGACAGGCTCATGATTCCAAACGCATTTGAGGAACTGGGGGGTTCCTCTTTCAGGGATGTACGAACTTTTAAGATAGGGTTTCTCAGCTGTCATTATTGACATTTGGAAAGCAGACTACTTCTTCATGGGTGGGTTGGGGGGGATGCTATCTTGTGTATTTGTAGGATGTTTAGCAGGACCCCTGGCCTCTATCCGGTAGATACCAATAGTACAGGCTCCTCCCTAGTCTTCACAATCAAAAATGTTTCCAGACATTGCCAAACATCCCCAGGGGGCAAATTTGCTCCCAGTTGAGAACCACTGCTTTCAAGTAATGCTAAGACCTCCATTTGGTCTTTATTGCTCACTTGTACCCAAACTACTAAAAATAGTCTGTTTTCTGGTTTCTCTTCAAACTCTGAGACATTCCATTAAAAACTCTTATTGTCTGAACCCATCATACCCAAAATGATATTTTTGCATCTATCACTCCATTGCAAGTTCTTCCATATGTGGATGTGAAAATCTGTGCTAATAAAAGTGACAATTGCAAAGCTCCACTGATGCTCCAGAATAAATAAATAAATAAATAAGGACAAGATAATTGACAGTTAAAAGCTAAGTGTAAAAGCTCTAGAGGCCTTTTTGGTAGCGTTGAAAGAGGCTCTCAGTTCTGCAGTAGGAAGACAATGCTGAGGACCAAGACTAGGACTTCATGTTAAGAGTAGCAGAGTTTCAAAGAAGGTTAAACTCTTAAACAGTGCATATTTTCTATGCCAAGGCCAGGGCCCTGGTTGGAAATGGGACCCTGACACAAGAGTTGGGGTCGATGATGCCCCAAATCATGAGTCCTCAGATTCCTTAACGACACATTCCTCCATTTTTTTTTTTTTTTTTAGGACAATGCAGAGGCTTTTCCTCAGTAAGACATGAACTCCCCCAGGATTCCCCCCCACTTTTTTTCCTGGTACCTAGGCCCCTAACATAGCCTTAAGTAACACCAAAACCAGACCACAGATGTACTCAGCCTTGTTAAAAAAGGAAAGGGACTATATCCCAAGCAATAGTAGAATCCAGAGGAAGAGCTGAGAGATTATGTGTGTCACTAGCTTATGAGGGTGCATGACCAAAGATGCAGAGCAAAACTTTACCAGTTAAGAAACACTCTACCAACGACAGATTTTAACACCCTGGTAAAGCTTTGGAGGGTTAGACAAAACTGTGCCTCTAAGGTAGCTCCTGCATGGACCATACATTAACATTCTCATGTTATTCCCTCTGTCATACTCTGGAGAGACATAAACTGGCCGCACATCCTGCAGAATTCACATTTGTCCACTATATTGATAACATCATGCTCATTGGACAAGATGAACAAAAACTAACTATTTGTGGAAGGCCTCGGTAAAACACATGAACTCCAGGACGCAGAGAAACTCTAAGTTTTAAGGGCCCAAGACAGCAAAATTTTAGGGTCCAGTGCCCTAGCACATGCCAAGATGGCAAACATCCCCTTAAGTACAAGACACATTGCTGCTTCTTGCACTTGCACTTCCCACCATGAAGAAGGAAGACCAGTGCCTAAAGGCCTCTTCAGATCACAGAGACAGCATATGCCACAACGGAGAATAATATGACTCATTCTGTGTGACATGAAATGCTGCCAGCTTTGAGGGGGGCCCAGTAGTAAAGGGGTTTTACAGTACATTCAGGTAGCAGTATGGACAGCCCTGCCTCCCAGGCTATATAACCTGATAGATCCCATAGTATTGGAAATATCAAAAGTAAAGAAGATCCCATCAGGTTGATGGAAAACCCTAAGGCAAGAACCGCAATCCAGACAGCATCAGTTTTGGAACACAGTCGTGTTATCTCCAGTAGCAAATTCTACTGTTCCGATGGGACATCAAATTACCATCAGATGGACAAGCTGACCGTGAGCTGATTTCTTTCAGATCCACCAAGACTTAGGGTTAAAAAGGCCCAGAAGAAATCATATTGTACTTTCAACAGAAAGTTGGAAGTGGTACATACGGGATCAAGAACAAGCAAGACTGGACAGATGAAATGATTAAATGTGTCAGCTAGCCTAGACACCCATGTTACCCACCATGTCTTAACAGCACCTTTCCTTAATGGGAAGGAGATCCATTATCACTAATTGACAGAAGCTAAAAGATTTGAGCTTGGTTCACAAATGCATTGGCTTAATGTCTTGGTATAAGCCATGGAAGACAGGAATGAGGAGAAATCCTCCCAGTTTGGACAATGATTTAGTTATCTACTTTTCATGGAAATAGAGGTTATCTGAGCTGGGCCTAAAAATTACACAGAATGATGGACAAAGGCAAATGGCTTAGCAAGATAGTCAGGAACCTGGAAAAAGAACGACTAGAAGATCAGGAACAAGGAGATCTGGGATAGTGACATGAAAATATTCATACGGAAAGGAGCACCAAGTGCGACAATTTTCACATTGCATGGTAATGCTCACTCAAAAGGATCCTCTACAGAAGAGACACTATACCAGCAGGAAGATACCCAGAATATAAAAAGGACTCCTTCTACTCCATGATAAAAAGACAACCCAGTTAAAATGGGAGAAAAGACTTGAACAAGTACTTCACAGAAAAAGATGAACAAATGTCCGACAACAACATGAGAAAGTGTTTAATGTCTCTAGTTGTCAGAAAATCACAAATTAAATCAACATAAAAATTCTATTTCAAATCCACTAGAATAGTTACAATTAAAAAGATAACAACAACAATATGGAACTAGAATTTTTATACATTGTAGTGGGTGTGTAAAATGGCACAACCGTTTAAGAAAAATTGACATGGCAACTTTTTACATAGTTAAACATGAATCTGTTCTTTACCCACAAAATCTCAACCTGCAGTTTTTATGCAAGAGACATGAAAACTTATACACAAATATTCGTGGAAGCTCCATTTATGATATCCCCAAATGAGAAATAACCCAAATTCTATTAAGGTTTCATAAACTGTTGGTGATATATTCACACAGTGGAATACTACAAGAAATAAAAAACAGTGAATATCTCATACACAGAACAACATAGATGAATCTGAAAAAACAAACAAACAAACAAACAAACATGAAGCCAGACAGAAAAGAGTATATATTGTGTGATTCCATTCAAACAAACTTCAAAAAGAGTTAAAACTAATCTCTGTGATATAAATCAGAACAATGGTAACCCATGGGAGGATTGCAAGGATTAGAAAGAATCACAGAATTTTCTGCGTTGATGGAAATATTCAGCATTTCATTTGCGTTTATTTAATTAGAAGCCACCTGTGCATTTTACCATATGTAAATTTTTACCCTAAAATAAAAAGTACAATCCAAAGTCTTATATTAATTATTTCTCTGATCCTAATTCCTGCCACTCAACCCTCTGCTCCAGGCCCACTGACCTCTTGTCATTCCTCATCCTTTGCACCTACTATTTTTTCTGCCTGAGAACTATTCTGCTTCTAGATAGCCACGCTGAGTTTTAAACGAGTCTATATGAGTTCCTGCTGTCTCATTTAATGCAGGTCTATGTTCAAATATGAACCTCAAATCAAAGAGGTCTGCCCTCATTTTCTTACATATAATAAGTAGATCTGTTACCGTGACCACAATCTATACCCATTTCCTGCTTCACGTTTTTTGTCTTTCTTAACACTTATCCCCATTTGTATATATGGTGACAGCAGAAACTTGTTCCCTTTGTTTCCTGCTGTATCACCACCCCAGAACACCCCTAGAACATAGTAGGCTCTCCACAAACAGGGTGAAGGGCTGTTAACAGTGTATATATCTTTAAGCTAGCTGTACTGAAAAATCCAAGGTATGCTCAGTCAAGGGTATTATTTAGGTGACTGCTTTGTCTACATTGTAAATTAATCCTGCAACAGCTATGATTAGAGAATAACCGGATTTCTTAGAAGGCTCCAAACAAGATTATCTGACTCCACTCGCATTTTCTGAAAACTTTGTGATAAGCAAAGAAATGCAAGTCTCACATAGCTTTTACACCCTCCTCCATGGGGAGTTCTGACAATTTTCTGCAAAGGAAAGGAAAGGTGTCAAGATAACATTCCATACATAGATGCGACGTGGTACAGCAAAATGATGGGAAGACATAACAGATAAATTTAAGAACCAGAGGAGACCT